CGGCAGAGTGAGCGGCGGGATTTGTTGGCCCCGACTTCTTGCGGCACCAACATGCGGCTATGTTGGCTCACACAAATCGGGCACCCACCCGACTGTTAGGGGTTTCATTCGTCAAGTTTGGGCTTACCATGCTGCAAGCTGGCAATTGAAATGCCTTTGGCCAGTCAAATCGCCTTGGCCAGCTGATTTAGATATTTTGGTGTCAAGCTGGTTTTGGACGCATCCTTTGAGAAACCTTGTTGGACCATGGGAAGTTGTGAAGATTGGCTTTTGCCACGCAAGGGGCTCAGAAAGGCAAATTCATGCCTGGGATGACCGCTTTAGACCTGGTTTCGTGCGGAACAACATCATTGGAGCACTCTCAAGAGTAGCTGGTGGATATAGATCCAGTGAATGTCAACCAAAGGTCCCCAACAAGATGTCATACCTAGAACGGCCACGGTCGTGGCATTCCAGTCAGCCGCCATACCTTTTGAGTAAGTCAGATACTGCCAGAGTGCGCCGCAGTTTGCCTAAAGTTTCGCCACGGATGACGCGTGGTCTTTGAAGACGCGTGGTGTTTATGCATGTGCCAAAAAGCCCACTCAATACCGAAGCAGGTCGGGATAAACAGGATTGAGCTGGTGCGTCCTTTGAAGAGAGTACCCCCATGTTTGCTGGTTTTGCAGGGATACCAACTGCAAACAATGGGGGAGGGTTCCGCTACTAATATAGACTACAGGAAGAAAAGAAAAGAACGGGTACCAACTTCCTCTAGCCTCTACCTAAAAGAAGGACGCCCAGGTTGGGGGGTGTTTTAACGGCTCAGCGGCGGGGGGGGGAGTTGGGTCAGGTGCTTTGGTTTTGGCGGCGGTGCTCTTCCAGCACTGGACAGACGCGTGCGTCTCATCCCCAGTCCCCTCAAAATGAAATTGGGGGAGGGGGATTCGACCCCTGCAAACCCATCTGTGGTTCCATGTTGTTCCCCCTTTGGGAAATGCTGGAGAAATGAGATTGGGTCCCGGACCCCCCATGCCCTTGGGTTTCTGGACTTGTGTGACTTTTTGGGAATATCATGTTCAGTGGCAAAAAGTAGACCAAGGTTTCCGAGGGCCATGGCTCTACGACAGCCCAGAGTTTCCGCATGGCTGGGACTTCAGTTTTGCCGCAGGATCCTTCTTCTGGCGCTGCTGGGATGTGCGGGCTATTGGCTGCACTTGTGCCCTGAGCTCATCATATCGTTCAAGAAAATTGCGGTCGTCCAAAACCCTTTACCAAGTTCCATGATTCCAGTGCTGGAAAGGCAGAGATTGCATGCCCGTGAAGGAGGTTTGTGCGCAGGTAAGCACGGTTTTGCGGGGTGTCCCGATATTTGGGAAATGTGGAGTTCGAGCCGCAATCTCCACAGGTTCGCCCGCATTTTTGGCCATGTAACAGTGGTGATACAGTGTTGTGTAGCATAGCTTTGGACAACTTATGGCATTCTCACAACGGAGGGCCTGCCGTGTTTGCTCTCATTGCTTTGGAGCAACTTATCTGCGGAACTCTTCAATCAAGATGCGGGGCCACGACCACTGGCTGCTTCTTGTCACGCACGGACCTGTGAAGTGTTCCTGTCCGACTTCCAATAGACCCATACGTGATCATCAAGCTGGCTGTGGATCTTCACTCTTCTTGGCTTGTTGCTTGTTGTTTGTTCTTTGTTTTGTTCATCCTTAGTAGGGGCCTGCAAAAACCACCTTGTTTTTTTGCAACCAAGCCAAGGGTTCCATTTTAGGTGCCTATGTTGACCCTTACCCAGGATGACAGTGGCTTGTTTCCCTCATCCCACGCTTGTCCGCGCCAGGTACCGGAACATTTGGTGGCTGGCCATTGCCTTGGTCGTCGGATATTTTTTCCGTCCGCAGGTGAACCCAGTCAATGAAATCCTGGCCGGCGTTTTGGGGACAGCAATCAACGGGTTTGGTTACAGGAACATCTTTTGGAAATGGCCCCCAAAACAACCTAAATAAGCTGCTTTTCCGGTACATCTTCCTGTAACCCAACCCTTTGAAGCAAATGCGCAGCTCGTGGTCATTGTGTGTCATTTGCCGCCGGGAAAAAAACAAGTTGTCCCATTTTGCCAAAGAAAGCAAGCAAGCAACTGGTAGAGTTGTCTGGCCAGCCAAGATTGACTCACCTGGCTCCGACCACGTGCCGCGCAAGACGACTAAATACTTGATATCCTGCCTTGCTTAGCCACAACCAATGCTACCTAAGTGCTTGGAAGGTTTGAGCGTTTCCTGCAGCGCAAGCAGCAATGCAGAGACATGATGTTTGGATGTTACTTAGAGACGCTAGCCGCATTTGAGGCAGTGGCCTTGCATCACAGGTCCTCATGGCCCCGTTGATGTGTGTCTCACTTCCTGAGTTCCTGGGCCCTGGGCTTCAAACTTTTTGGGTTTGTTGGACATGTTTGGGCCAATCCACTCAGGAACTAAGGTGCTGTGGGCGAAATCCGTTCACACCACCTAGGAAACCCTGATTTCTGATGATCCCCCCTGCAAATACCAACAAACAATGGTTGCCCCATGGTTTCAGTGCGTGGTGCGAAATGGATTTCGCAACCATCCGCAGTATGGGCCGCCCGGGCAACCAGCCCTCAGGTGGAAATCGGGTGGCGCAAGGAGAGCTCGGAGTTGCTGGCCAGAGCCCGCGCCGAGTACTACGGGCGCACAGGCGAGGGAGGGGCTGGTCAACTTCCATTTCAAGGTCCCCCAGTGCCTTTCTCACCAACCTTTTTGGGGAAGGGTTCCCCGACTAAAATAGACAAAACGGAAAAAAATAACCCGGGTACCAACTTATTCCAACCTCAAATCTGGAGGACCTAGATTCGGTGAAGCATATGTTTTTATTTCCCCCTGTTGGCTTTAAGGGGAATCTATCACTCCAGGACTCCAGATGTGCTTTTTTGTTTGAAGGGGTCTTAAGCAAATGGAAGTCAAGGGAGAGGTTTGGTTGAGGGCACGCTTTTGGGGCCAGAAAAAAAGAAACCCAAAATTATACCAAACCATCTTGTGGGTTCCCTTGGAGACAAATTGCATTTGTCGAAATTTGAAGGTAGAGTAACTGTTGACCCAGCTATTCTAAGTCTACCTTGGGGTAGTCAAAACTTAGAACACTTGGAGGATGTGTTGCCAGTTTGCAGGACCAAGCGGGGAGAAACCGGGTCTTGCTCACAGAGAAGAGCGCAGGCCCCCATTCTCATTCTGGACCGCGCGGCTAAGAAAACGTGCAGCTGTTGTCCAGTGAACGAATCGGAGCGAGACTGCAACGGGCACTGAAATCATCCAGCTGCACTCTCACCAACATCCATCATCAAGCAAGACACCTACAAAGTGCTTGTCAAACTAAGACACACTCACCTGGTTTCACCTGGCTTCACCTGGGGTAAAACGAAGGTCCTTTATCGGTGCGGGGCTCCCTTATTTCCACTATGGAAATTATGGTAGGTCGATTCGTGCAGAACATCAGTTGAAGCAAACAAGCTCATTTGCCAACATCTATCAAGGTTTGCCAACACTAGAAGTTATCCTATGTTGTTTGTGTGATGCTTTATACGGGTGGTTTTTGTTTTAGCTTTTAGGGGAACCCGCCCCCCAACATGCTGAGTAGGTTTCCCTTTAAAGCCTACCAAATGAGTACACATACCCTCAAAAAGGACACAGCCATCTGTAAAACTCGAATAGATACCAAGCAGTTTTACCACAGATCAGGTGACTTGCGCCACGCGCGGGTTGCGACGCCCCTGGAACTTGCACCAGAACCCAAGGCGCGACAGCGCCCGGGCCGCTTTGTTTGATGGTTTGGAGCCAGGACCAATCCAAACCACCAACTAAGGGCTGCCTGTGGGCGGGCAAAATGCGTTTCGCACCTCTGGTACATTTGATGTGCTCTTGAACCTGCCACCTCGGTCGGATCGGGCTGCAAGCTCCAGTAACTTGCAAAAAACAATGCCACGTTCATGTTGCTCGCTCTTTTGGCTACCCATTCCATTCCCTTCTGCAACCTCCAACCAGATCCGGCTTGCCCTTTTGGGCCGTGCCGGGTCTGGTCCTTTTGAGACCTTGGAACTATATTTGGGCCAAGTCAACCGTGATCGCGGCTTTTCAACCGGTCCGGATTCGCACCTGGATCGCCAGTTGCGATCGCTTTTTGTCCATCCACTTTACCCCAAAAACCAGCAACAGCAACTAGACAAAAGCAGCAGCCACTTGGCTATCTAGGCAGGGTCCTGATTGTTTTTTGGGGGGGCCCCAGAAGCGCCCAGAGCTTAGGGCAAAACCCAAGCGCCAGGCCGGGGAGGTGGTAGTGGTGCGCACCTGCAAAGCCACCAGCGAGCGGCTCCACGTCTTGCCGGAGCGCCTGCAGCTGACACCCGGCGAGCCACACAAAGGCCCCGCGAATCGAAAGCCGCGCGGACTCGAATCGATTCGCGGCGAAGGGCGAGCTGAGAGCTGAAGTCGGTGGAGTCCACACGCCTTCAAGTTCCATTTGGTGTGGGGACCGGGAAACTTGCGTGGCACGAATTTGCTCTCAACGCCAAATGCGGCGCTAGGAACCATAGATGTGCCGCGGTTGATCAGGCCTAGGCGTGCTCGGGGTTTGGAAAATATTTTATGGGCCGTAGGCCATACGATACATATATGTTTCACCACCAGTTTCCCGGAGAGCCATAGGCATCCGCAGTCTTGACGGCTTGACTGCCAGATGTAGATGGGAGCCAAGAGGGCGGACTCCTGGAGGCTTTTTGTGACCCTGAAAGATCAAAAATGGGGAAAAATGGGTCCATTTGGGGTAATGTAGGGGGCAAAATGACTCCAGGCAGAAATGTGGGGTAATTTTGAGACTCCAGGTATGTTGGCATTTGTGGCGTCCGGGAAAAACAAAAACAACAACAAGAGAGGTGTCCTCAAGCCATTTGGCTGGGAGCGGTTGCTGAAACGCCACGGCGCTTGCAGCGAGGCGAGGTGACTTTGGTCATGGACCCCGAGGTGGAGTTCCAGGAGTTTATGGGCTTCGGGACCTCTTTCACGGCGCCTTGGCTGAGCTCGCAACCTAGAAACCAGCTACAGGAGGTTCTGGAATTGGGCTCATGTGTATACAAATATATATATATATATACACATATATATATATATATATGTGTATATATATATATAATTTGTATGTATTGTTTTGTTCTGTGGCTGGTTTGATGGAAACCTGAGAGCCACCCAGAAACCAGCTACAGGAAATGGAAGCTTGAGTGTTCTTGGCTGAGGAATGCTCACACAATGTGCTCATGCTGATGCCTTGATTTCTGTGATGCGTTTCCAGCTTTGTTGATTGTTGAATGTATCTTGCTGTTTGCTTCCATGTCGTTGGTAGGCTGCAAGGTGTTGACCGAGGTTGCAGGGGATGTCCATCTCAACCCTCATGCACCCCAATTTGCGCAGGCTGCCAAATTGCGTCCATCTGGACCGCTTGGCCACTTCGATTCGATTGGCAAGCCCGACAAGAGAATCTCTGGGCCACTTTCAGATCCGCAGTAGATGCAGGTACGTTGTCAGGCACAGTGTCCCCATGCGATAAATAGATGCCAAAAGAAGCCGTTAAGATTCTTTGCCATCGGTCCGGGTCGGACCGGCAAATGGGTTTGAGACTGTCCTAGGGCACTCCCGCAAAGTGGTGGTTTCGCTATCATCCTCCATGGAAAGCCTACCCAAAACGCGCATCCTCAAAAAAGCCGCTCAACATGGAAGACTCCCTCGGGCGGTCCCTTTACCTTTGTTTTCAAACTTTTTAAAATAAGGGGGACACCGCGGATCCGCCGATCATTATCTCCGGACCTAGGAGTCTTCGGCCTCCACATTCAAGAAGATGGGCTCTGCTGGCCAGGAGCGGCAGCCCGGCACGGGACTTCAACTCGCGGGCTTGGTTGTTTACGCAGGGTGGGACTCCTCGCCGCCGTGCAACTGTCTTCACTTTTGGCACACCCGCTCATGCGTATCACGTCATATCTGCGCGCATGCTGGCCAAATGTTAAGCACACCCGCTCACGCGCATGGTGTCATAAGTGCACAAATGCTGGCACATGATAAGCACAGCCGCTCACGCGCATCGTGTCATAAGTGCACACATGTTGCAGATGATAAGCACACCCGCTCACGCGCATCGCGTCATAAGTGCGCACATGCTGGCACATGATAAGCACACCTGCTCATCATGTCAGAAGTGCACACATGCTGGCACTTGATAAGCACACCCGCTCAAGCGCATCATGTTATATCTGCGAGCATGCTGGCCAAATGTTAAGCACACCCGCTCACGCGCATGGTGTCATAAGTGCACAAATGCTGGCACATGATAAGCACTGACGCTCACGCGCATCGTGTCATAAGTGCACACATGTGGCAGATGATAAGCACAGCCGCTCACGCGCATCGTGTCATAAGTGCGCACATGCTGGCACATGATAAGCACATCCGCTCACGCGCATCGTGTCATAAGTGCACACATGCTGGCACATGATAAGCACACCCGCTCACGCGCATCGCGTCATAAGTGCACACATGCTGGCACATGATAAGCACACCCGCTCATCATGTTAGAAGTGCACACATGCTGGCACATGAGAAGCACACACGCTCAAGCGCGTCATGCTATATCTGCGCGCATGCTGGCCAAATGTTAAGCACGCCCGCTCCAGCGTATCATGTTGTAAGTGCACACATGCTGGCACATTATAAGCACTGACGCTCACGCGCATCGTGTGAGAAGTGCGCACATGCTGGCACATGATAGGCACACCCGCTCAAGCGTATCATGTCATATCTGCGCGCAAACAGGTCCGAAAACTTTTCGACGTTTGAGGAGGGGATGCTAAACGGTTGTTTCGCCTAGGCGAAATACTTCTTTTTGGGAATCTGCCCTGCGAAAACCCATATAAAATGCATTTTGCTGAATCATTGGCTGCGAGAGAAAACGTGGCAGGCGTGGGGGACGGGCGATGTTGGTCGATGTTCTTGTGTTGGGGTTTCGCCTTCCACGGCGGCGAGGCGTTCCACCACCCTTGTTTACTGGGAATTTAAAAGAATGTGACAATGTCAATACGGAATGCCCTAATGTCAACAAAAAACAAGCAGTGCGTTTTAATGGTAAAACAATGGATTTAATGTCAAAGAAATTTGTACCCAGTGGAATTTGAGAAGGGATCTTTGGACTTCAACTTGCTGGTTGAAACTATTTATTTGCTGAATTGGACCCACGAGAAGTGGTGCCCTTTTACCCTTTTTTTGGGGAGGATTCCCCTACTTAGACCACAGAAAAAAGGGTTGATCCGTGTCAAATGAGGATGGTCCCGTGGTCTGCTCAGTCCGTGCTTGTTTGGTTCACGCTTTGCTCACCTCCGGTGGTGGTTGCTTTCTTTTCTTTGGCCGGGGGAGGGTCCCCTTTCTCTTTATTTGGCCACTAGGGTACATAAGCCGCCGAACAAGACGACTTTGCTGCACCCTGGGTTTGTTTGATGGCTTGCTTCGGTGTTGAAACGTACTTGTCACTTGTCCAGGTGAAAGGGTTGTGCTTCCAGCGAGGGGCGGTGCTTGGGAGTCAAGGGAAGCTTAACCACCAGTCGCGAGCGGAGGGCTGTTACGGCTGACCGGAGATCTTCAATGCAACCCGGATGTCCAGGCAAGCGTTAAGAGCGCCAATGAGAGTCTCCATAGGATCATTGACTCATGCAAGATTGGCTGACAGGGGAAAGAACGAGAGCCCCCATTTGCCTTCGTTTTGTGGGACCCACATACATGGGCCTGATATTTTTTTGAGTGATACCCCTTTGGTGGCTTTAAGAGACACCAAGAGGAAACCCCGCCGTTTTGGGGGGTCCAACCAAAAAAACACTTTCCACTTTCCACATAGTTCTTGCTCCAGGCTGGTCACATTGTGGGTCTTTGGCTTTGGTTGAGGATCATAGACGCCTACTTCGACAAGCAGACTGGTCTCGGCTTCAACCTCGGCCGTCTGCACATGAGCCTTGGCCGGCTGAACCCGCTGGAAGTTCGGGCGCTTTGGTTCTTTTGGCAGCCTTGCTTGTGCCAAAAGGTCAAGCTGTCTTGCGCCAAAAGGACAAGCCTGCAGGTCTTGTGGCTGGAAATGCCATAGTAAAAAAAAACAAAAACAACAACAACGTGTGGCAGGCGCATACTTTCGGACCAAAGTCCGAGGGTCGTAAGCACCTAAGTCTTGTTCAGAGGGTCTCTGCTTTATATGTTTTGGCTATGGCTTTCTGTCTTAGAGTCTAGGGCTCCTTTGGGTTTGAGATGAAAGCCACAGGGGGCAGCTTCCATCAAACTGAACGCCATATCTGTCTTGAGGCGTTTCGCTTAACGAAAGATCCAGGAACTCCTGCGATTTCTCGGACGGCAACTGGAGCTGCTGCGACAAGGAGGGCGACCTCGCAGAGTTCTGCGTCGACCGCTATGCCGCCCGGAGATACAAATATTGGCTCAAAGAGCTGCGGCTACGTGTGGGTCTAGGCGTACCTTCCCCATTCTTTCCAGGCATCCTTCTTTCTAAAGCACCACCCAAAACCCTGGGGAAACAGCAGGTTGTTGAAAAGAACGAAATGGGGAATCAACCCCTAGAATGGGGTTTGATCAAAAGGTCCTTTACATACGGTGACCACAAGGGAACCACCAAAAGAGATGAGTTTTTCCACATAAAGTTATCCATGGTCATTTTGGGGCCCGAAATGGAATATTGATCAACCCCCATATTCTCACTCGAGTTCCTGGACTTGCGTTTTTTTTTTTGGGGGGGGGGTTTGACCACGGTGACAAGGCAACAACTATATAATGTTGATCAACCCCACTTCATTACTAGGGGGGTGTTCAGCCCAGGGACACCCTATGCATATAATGGGTTTGATGAATATGGGGTCAACATTAGGCCAGTTCACTTTCAGTCAGTTGGAACATGCGACTCATGGTTCCCACTAGCGAAACGGCGAGATGACGATGCTTGATGGATAAATCCCCTCACAATTGGCCGGACATAAACTTGGTAGTCACAAAATAGGCACCCAAAGCTGTCTTTTTGTTTGACTTAAACACACATTGAAGAGGCGGTCCAGCAATGTTGGGCCATGCCTGAATTGGTCAACCACAATATTCCAATCCGGGGTAGATAAAGGTTGGTTGAGGACATTCCCCTTGCTGGGAAGCCAACTAGAAACCACCATGTTTGGGGTGCCCTAATTTTAAGACAACATAGGTACGGCAACAGGCGCTTTGGATCTATATTTAGTTACACGGTGTTCGGCAGACGCCTTCAATACGTCCTGAGATCCGCCAGTTGCGATTGCTCGGTTTCAGCGTGGTTGCCTCGTGTTTTCGGTGTTGGCAGCATAGAACTGGAACTGAGCCCATGTTGTTATCAAAGTCAGAGTTTGGTGTTGTTGTGTTGTGCTAACACTTAAGGGGCTAACTTTGAAACTGGTAAAATGATGGGGCCATTGTTGGCCATGTTTTGTTTGAAACGGCAAATCATTGTCCCAAACTCGGGGGGCTCTTTTCTTTTGACGGTATCGTGTACCATGACGCATTTGTGACTGGCCTGAGGGATATCAAAACCATGGCAGGGTTTGGGGCTTGAAGTGAAACCAAAAGGCAAAACCACCCCAGTTAAGTTAGTTCCCCCCCCCCCCGGAAAGGTGTGTGTGCCTCTATTTGCGACCAACACCCACAAACAAGACCAAGCAAGATGTTGGGCAGTGCGTGGTTGAACAAGTAGCTGGATTTTCCGATGGCAAGGCTTTCGTGCCCGCCATGGCAGCCAATCGGGACCGAACCACGTGCAACCGAACAAGGGCCAAAAGTTTAAGGCTATCTTGTAAAAGATGGGGTTGGAATCATTTGGGGTCGGATTAAGATCACAAGGAGATGTTCTTTTGGTTGCAAGGGCAAGCGCGTGAGGGTTGAACAAGCAATGATATCCCATATTGGCTTTTTGCGCCAAGCCAGCTCTATGTTGAGCTGTTTGCAAGAGAAGAACCATGTAAGCTTTCGATATAATCGCTCTCAGCTTAAACATAGCACGCGTTTTGCTGATCAAGCAGACTCATCGATGAATGCGTTTAGCTCTATGTGTGGCTGAATGCGCTTGTGTTTGCTTGTTCCACCATATTTGGTAATCCTCTCTCGCCAATGCTGCACAAAAGGGCTTTCTGGGTGTGCCAGCCTTGAACAAGTGTATCGTCTCCGAAAAACTAGAGATGTGCATAGGGGCGTGTTTTTGTTTGATGGTTCCATTTTTGAGGTTGGTTTAAAGGGAAAGCAAATGGATGCCAACCATTTTCTCACTCCCTGAGTTCGTGGATTTTAAACTTTTTGGGAAGACCATTTTAGTGGCAAACCCAAAGTTTGGTTGTGTTTTTGTCCAATCCACTCAGGAAGTGAGTCTTGGTTTCAAATATTATTTTAAAAGACCCCCATCGTGGATTGGCTGAAAGAGCAGCAAGATCCAACCGAAAGCTCTCCGCATTTCTCTCGCCCAGGAGGATGCTATTTTACCACTGGTGAGGCGAGTCGCAACGGAGGGCGAACCTGTCCATCAGGGCAAAATGCACATCCTGCATAAATGTAAATGTAAACAGTACTTCAACGTTTTTGGCAACTTGTTTCTGTTATGTTTAGTAGGGAGCTGCAAACACAAAGTTCTTGCAATCATGCCGAGGGTTGTTAAGATTGTAATGTTGACCCCGTATTAGTCTGTAACCCCCCCCCCCCCCCTTGAAGGTTGGAAGGTTTTGGGGGGGCAAGATTTTGGAAGGTTTTTTGCCTTGACCCCCTAAATAATCTGGAATTGAGTTTGCATTTGATTTAGTATTGCTGGGGCTTCCTTTTGAGATCTGGAATTGAGTTTCCATTTGATTTAGTATTGCTGGGGCTTCCTTTTGAGATCTGGAATTGAGTTTCCATTTGATTTAGTATTGCTGGGGCTTCCTTTTGAGATCTGGAATTGAGTTTCCATTTGATTTACTATTGCTGGGGCTTCCTTTTGAGATCTGGAATTGAGTTTCCATTTGATTTGGTATTGCTGGGGCTTTCTTTTGAGATCTGGAATTGAGTTTCCATTTGATTTAGTATTGCTGGAGCTTCCTTTTGAGATCTGGAATTGAGTTTCCCTTTGAATTAGTATTGCTGGAGCTTCCTTTTGAGATCTGGAATTGAGTTTCCATTTGAATTAGTATTGCTGGAGCTTCCTTTGGGGGGTGGGGCCGATGGACCGCACTAATTAGGGGGGGAATTATTAATTGGGGGTGTTAGGGGCCAATGTGGGGTGCTCTTTGAAACCTTCTAAGCTTGATTTGTTTAGTAAAGAATTTAATACGAAATCGACCATCTCAGAACACTTTTTGTTTTGTGGTTTGGGCAGGCCCAAAAGTATCCACCAAGCTTCAAGATGAGAGTAGGAGGTGGAGATGAGAGCCCTAAGCAAGGCAGCAGCATGAAGAGAAAGGTACCAGAAGAAAGCATGAGCCCATTTGAGACAAAGCACCTTTTCAGCACACCATTCAGAGAAAGCATGGCAAGCAGCATGAGTCGATTCAACATCAGCAGCACCAGCTAGCACCAAAAAACAGTTTACATTGTAATGAGCTCAAGAAGCAGTGGAGAAAATGAGATAGCAGCAGCCATCTGGGGGAGGGACCGGTCTAATTGGGGGGGGGGGTTGTTTTGCATCATTTTTTATTTGGGGGGTAGTTTCTGAGATATGAATTGTTTAGTATTGGGGGGGTCCACCCGGACCGGACTAATAGGGGGGGATATCTAATACGGGGTCAACATTAATGGTGAATCTGGTTTGAATTGCCAGACGGCCCCAGATTACTGTGCATCTGATTTCGGATGGTGGATGTTCATTTGCCAGCGCAAGAGGTCCTCAGAAAGCCATTGCCCCATGCCCCATGCCCCCTGGATTAGTGTTGCACGGCAAGTGCATTTCAGGCGACCCTTAGGAGCCTAATGGGATCCAATCCACCGAGGGAAGCTGGCCATAGCCTTCCATAGACTCCATACGCGTTGAAGCTCCGAGGAATTCGCAGGTGTTGGTTTCACATTCCACATTCCGGAAGGACTCGGTTTAGCTTGCATCTACTGAGATCTCTATGATGGTGCTATTGTTTTCACGGCCGGGAGCTGTTTGAGTCGCAGTACAAAGTACACTTTCCTTCCCCGAGTCAAAAAAGGCTCACAAAATACAACATCTTCCGAGCAAGGGATTTCAATGGTTCAGACTCCTCTTGTCCTTTTCGAAAGCCTCAAACATGCCCAGCTTTGCAAAAACCCAAAAACACCAGCCCAAACAACTGCCACTTTTTCATGGCCCAGGGACCCACCCGCGGGAGACCCGTCGGGGCCAGGCGCGGGGCCAAAGCGGCGAAGAGTGCTTTGACGCTCTTCGCGAGTCCCTGGAGCCCTCCTGCTTGGATGAAGGAGCTCATGGCAAGGGCTGGTGGTTTTGGGAGTTTGGACCAAGATGTCAACCAGAGACAAAACAACCAACCAAAACAGGAGAAAGCCTCAAAAGACTGGGAATGGGGTGGCTTCTGGCTGGCTTGTAGACCAACTGGCTGGTGTCCACCTGCAGTCTCCTTCTGACCCTGAAAAAATGGTTGGTCAGGCCCCCATGGGGTCATTCACTAATTTTTAAAGGGTCATGGAGAGTCTAGGACCAACAATCCGAAAGGGGAGAGAGCTTTAAAAGAAGACATTTCGGCTATGAGGATCAAAGAGGAATGGTTAGCGGACATAAACCTCCGTCAAATGATGTCCACCAAACACCTCCCTGATACAATTGAGACCTAAATGGGTCCGTGTCTTTTGAGGGCACTCTTTTTGGGTTGGTTGAAAGGGACACCAGAAGGAACTAGTGCAGTTTTCGGGGGTTACCTAAAGGACACAACCAGATGCTGCGGGTGCTGCGGATGAGAAGCCGACCTCTCTGCGTGGAGCTTTTGTCCTATTTGTTTGCAGGGTTGTGAAGCGCTTCAAGAAACAACTCGGCTTGTCCGTTGAGAAGGCATGACACACATTTGAAAGAACCGGTAGTTTTGACACCATGTGTAGCTGAGGAGAAACATTTCGACGAATAACTATGAAGGTCCTTTGTGTCCCCTAGGCCAAGAGTCGGATGGAATTAACCCCACCCGGCACGGACCCAAATGTGGCCCATACTCAGGACACCTGGTTGCTCAGGGTGGATAGCGGCGGTCATCAGAGGGTCATCAGTGTTGGTGTTGGACATTTGCGGGATCCTCCAAGAGTATTATGGATTTTGCGGTTGACAAATTCTGCAACAAAATCTGAACAGATCATTTTCTTTGTGCCCCAGATTGGGACCAAGAGTTGTTGACGGGCATTTTGGGAACTGCTATGAATGAGCTGTAGCCAGCGCAGTTTGACCATCGCCCCAGAATATGGGAGCACGGCAACTCCAAATCTGTTGCAGCTTAGGCCAACAGGGTGGTTGCATCGTGCAACACATTTTGCAAGGAACCCTTACTTTGGTGCATGTTGCCAAGGGATGTTAGGACTTTATAACTTTTTGCCAGCGGGTTTTGCATTAAACCACCAAAAGTTAAAAACTTTTAGCAGGGGAGCAGATTTCGCCACCGAGCTTAGTGTCCAGTATTCCCGAGCTTTAACTCATTGGAATCGGATTTGGACGTTTTTCACCGGTCAATGTGAGCCACGTGCTCAAAACCCGGGTAGATGAAGGTTAGTAAGGGACAATAGCCATAAATCGCTGCGGCCTTTGTGTTTCCTCACATGGTTCTGGGTCAACCATTTTGATACCGGGTTTTGATTGTGACTCATGTGGCACTTGCACGCCTTTGCGCAGGACAACTCATCAATGTGTGCCGGCGGCAAGTTGAAAGCCGACCCTCGGTGGCAAGCTAGGCAGCAGTTGAATGTGTCTGGGTGAATTATAACGACCTCACACGACCTCACCCCAAACGGTGGTTTATGTGTGGAATAGCCCCCCAACCACCTTATTTCAGGTTGGTGAAATATTATAATTCACGCAGATGTGCGTGCTTGTAAGGCCTCTTCAATTCAACGGACCTCTGATTGTGCCATACCGAAGTCCGGGTCATTCGCTCCTGATCAAGGAACGTTCCTTTAATAGACCGCTTGCAGGTGGCTATGCTTCACTGGCAAGTTGCTTGTTTCTGTGTTCTTTTTGTTCTGTTCATTTTTAGTAGGGGGCTGCAAAAACATTTTGTTTGCAGCCATACCCACTTAAATGATGTCCACCAGAGTCTCTCTGATGAAAACTCGCAAGATGGGTGATTTCTGACACTGGACACCCCTTTCCTTGCTCCCGCTTAGCGGGGAAAGAGGGAATGAACCTGGGGATTCCCTCAAAGGAAACCACCAGTTGGATGGTTTACAGATTTCCTCAACGGAAGCCACAAGGGATGGTTTCTAGTGGTCATTCCTCCCTCTTGTTGATTCAGCAAGTGATTGGGTTGATTCAACATGCCGCCCCCCCCCCCCCCCTTTAAACGTTGGTGAAAAGACGGCCCCCTTTCAAAGGTTGGTGAAAAAGACGGGGATGGTTCGCAGGTGGCACGCGCCCAATGGACGCCCCTTGCAACGAACCCGTTGGGGGACCCCGCCCCCGTTGGACGGCCGAGGACTGCCGTGAGGCCTGGGCCAAGTTCTACGTGCGCTTTGCGGAGGAGTTGAAGGCCAAGGGCGTGGCCTTGTGGCCCGGTCGCAAGGAGAAAACTGCTAGTGGGTGGGAGGGTTCCCCTACTAAAATAGACTACAGCAAAAAAGTTGGTACCCATATGCTCTCTTCTGGAGGACCTAGATTGCTAGTGGGCAAGAGTCATTGGTCATCCTGCAAAAATTCCAGGGGACACGTCCACTTTCATTCTTTCCAGGGATCCGGATCTTTTCAGAAAACCAGAGGTCCCCGTCCTAGGTCCCCCAGCTAGATGCCAACTTTTACCAACTGTTTGTTTGGGGAGGTTCCCCTACTAAAATAGACTACAGGGAAAGGGTACCATTAGTATAACCTCTCTACTGGAGGACCTAGGGCAAGAGTCATGGGTAGTCCTGCAAAAATGCCCCCCCCCGAAAAGGTTCGTCCTGCAAACAAAAGTCCCTCCAACTACCAAGGGGCAAAAGGTTCGTACTGTAAAAAAAGAACACCTTTCCTGCAAAAGCTTTGCTTGGAGCATAGACCTGGTAGGTCTTCGGAATATTTTATTCGAAAAGGTCGCAAGAGACGCAAGAGGGGAGGGGAAGCCACTTGCACGCTTTCGTGTTTCTGTTTTTTGGGTGGGGTTTCCCTGAAGTCGACCCAAAAGGAGAGCGATCTGTTCGGCCGAAAAAAAGAGGGGTAGGACGGCCGGGTCGGGCGGGCGGCTTAGGTGGGGCTTCTCGGTGCAGAACGAGCCTGACGGCCAAACCCCCTGGGAGAACTGCCGCTTGGTCGATCGCCATGCGGGCGGCTCGCTCGATCCGCTGGTTGCAACCGGGTTTTTGGGACCCCCCCCAAAAAACAACAACATACAGGTTGTTGGGGACTGTGGATTCACAGAACACTAAACACGCACCAGTTGGCAATGAATGTAAGTTCTCTAGAATAAGATTATAATAATTAATAGCAGCAATAATAATGATAATGACAATGCTAATGATGATAATGAACATCATATTGATAATGATGATACTATGTGTATAATATATATATATATATGCACAAAATGCTTGCAGTTTCAGGTTAAACCAACCCCGAAAGGAAACGCCGCAGAATTTGAGGGAGTGAATGCCCCAGCGACAGCCGTATCAACCACTTTGTGATGTGTGTGCGTGTGTGCGTGTCATAGTCAACGACCTGGCTGCTTGATGCCAGCCCAAGTGCAGCTCTGGTAAATGGGTGTGTCCTTTTTTTGAAATTGGTGCTCTTTTGTTGGGGTGCTTTCAAAAAAGTAAACCAAAGGCAAACCCCACCTCTTTGGGCTCCCCTTAAAAGAGACACACACGTACTAAAACTAAACCCCCATTTGAAGCAGTCCGACTTTTCAGACAATGACCAAGACAAGTATTCGAGTTCCTTGAGTTTGTGAGGTGCGAGCCATTCGGCCACCCGGGGCACCTTGAGGTGCCAGGCTGCCAGAGGCATTTCCTCGGAGAAGTTTATTTCTTTGAGGGCACCTTTTCATAGTGGCTTGCAACATGCTGATGGGTCGACATAAAGTATGGTCAAAATTCAAGTTGTTGCGCATGTTTCCGCTGTACTCGTGTGGACCTGTGCAGCTGGCCAAGCGTGTGATGATTTTCTGGATCTGACATCGTTTGACCCTTTCAAGCAATCCTAAGTGGTTGGTTTGTCAGGTTGAGTCCCTGTTTTGTTCTTGTGGTTGCCAGGCCAACTGTCACACTTGACGCAGCACGACAAGTGTTGGATGTTGAGTTTCTGTTTGGAGGGTTCATCCGCTTGAAAGCAATCATGTCGGCGGACGTGTTTAGCAACGTACGTGTTCCATACTAAGACTTCTGCCCAAAAGGCTTTTCTTGCAATTTTAATTTCTATAGCTTTTGTGGCGGTGACTGGCACCGAGATTGACATGCAATTTTGAGCGCGAAAATCGGATTGAGTAGCATATCAAGCGCAGTGACACAAGCGCCTTTGTTCATTGAAAAGGAACAACTCACTTCCTAAGTTCCGTTTCCGACTTTAGTCACAGTTTGGGTCTGAACCATTTTAGCCCGCAAAAACTACTGGTTACTGTTGGGAAGACCATGTTAGTGGCAGACAAAAAGGCTGTCCGCTTCGGCCAAACCACTCGATGGGAAGTGAGACAAAGTGCAGCTGAGGCCTGTACAGCCCGGCTGAGGAGCGGGATTTCATCCGAGACCACTTGGGCCCTGCGCTCGCGAACTGCGGCGCCTCGCGCGGCGCATATCGCAGGGTACGGGCCAATGATGACAGCACTCGGGTGGGGTGTGTCCTTTTGGTCAGGGAACCACCCAAACCAGTATAGTTGTCTTTTTGGTTTTTGTTTTAAGAGCAACCCCAGCAAGGGTGCAATGAACAAACACACACGTATAGTGAGACTTGAAAGGCTTTCTTTTATGGCAATGGGATTACCTTCAAGGTACCAATGCTTGGCACGTTGCGAGCAAGACTCAAGCAGCCGTTTAGCTAATCCCATTGGAAGCACACCCAATGAACAATCAACTTCGCGAGAATCGACCAGCTGCACAAGATATTGCACATATGGGAGTCGTTCTAAAGGTCCTTGGAAGGAGTTTAGTATTCGGTGACCATCGGTGTTGGTTGAGGTAGCTCCGCGAAAGATTCGCGATGGAGTTGCGAAAGTAACTTTTTTCCTCGCGAAAGTTTTGCGTAACTGTAAATCAATGATATGTGACACCATTCATCTTTGCTGCTGAGCCTTCCTTCTGCGCTGATTACAACACTTTGTTGATTTTGCGCCGAAAAAGCCTGGTGAGGCTACAGTTTGATACCCTGCTTGGCTGGTTAGTGCCCCAAGCCTGTGTATGTGTGCCTGTGGGTGTTTACTCGGCGCCTTTCCGCTCTGAAACGTGGGTGGTTTTTCGCGAAAGTTCCGTGAAAGATCCGCGAAAGCCCCTGCGAAAGCGGCTTCGATTGTAAGGGGAGGTACTTTCTGAGCGCCGCGCTTGTCAGTATACCAGCTTGGTACTGGAAAGTTGCGACTTTAAGCTGGAGCTGCACGGCTTACGAAAAGCTGCGTCTTTCCAGCCCGTGCATGTCATGCACTACCCCTGTGATGAAAGTTGCGACTTTACAGCGGGAGTTGGGGAATCGAATTTCGCGCACTACGCTGGCACTTAAAATCAGCGATTTTCTGACTTGAGCAAGGAAAAGGGCACGGCGATGAATCCGCGAAAGATTCGCGAAAGTAACTTTTTTATTCGCGAAGAATGGCCGTTTCGAGACAAAGGAATATAGAACAACCACCATATCACAATGCCCTCGTTGACATGCGAGCCATTTGAATGTGAACTTACACCTGAAGTTTCCTCAAGGAACCTTCACAATCGTTGGGACCTATCAGACCTCTTGGGTTTTCGTCGGCTCTCGTCGGCAGAGCTTTCAGGTCAGGATCTCAAGCTGATCGCTTGGGACCACAACCGGGACGACCTGTTCCAGCGGGCGCACACCATCTACGCAGACCCCGAGGCGGCCAAATACGTTTGGGGCATGGGCTGGCACTGGACGCTTGGCCTGAAATACCTCAGAGTTGCCACTGATTCGGTCGCTGGGGGTGGAAGCGGTTTTTCACCCAACGCTGTGCATGGGGCATGGGGCGTTGATTTGGGGTGGGGGAGTAAATGGGCTGAAGCATGGTATATGGCAAGCTGGTTTCCGGTTGCCTACAATGCGTTTGCTGGCCGCAAACAGCCGCATGCATTTTAAGGGGCATGGCACCTGGCTTGCGCGAGCTAGCACATGCCGCATACGCAAATCAGCATGTTCTGTGCCGTGATTTCATGGCTCTTTGGCTTAGCCCAAACCGCTCGCGCCAGCCAAAGAAATGTGCAGCTGTTAGGAATTGGTCCAAGTTGCATGGCGGCCACCATCCATTTGGAAAACGACTCGCTCAAAGCCAAGATGTCAGACTTAGTGCCTCGACATGTATTGCCTGATCTTGCGGAGAAAAAAAAAAGCTGGAGCGCTGTCATTTTTGTGGTGGCTCCCTCTTTTGTGTGTTTTTGAAGGAACCCTCCAACAAAACGCACCGTCGCGCCCCTTTTGGGTCCAAAGAGGAAGCCACATCCGAGGTATGGGGATCCGCGCTACGAGTGGTGGGCAGATGCAGCGGGACAGGTCTGCTTTGAGAATGTGCGGCGCCTCGCGCAAATCGAACGGAAGCGCAGAGAGATGGCCAGGGGTCAAAACCTATGCCCTATGATCCCATTTTGGGGCGGATGAACAAACCATGTACCATTTGTTTTTGATGTTCTCCAGGGTTACAGTGTTTTGACCCACAGCCAGATGAGTGGGGGCTGGTTTCTCCTCAATGGCATGGGTCCATGCCCTAAGAATGGGATGGGAGTTCGGAGTTTGCATCTGTTAATTAAGGCGTCCTTTGCTGTTCGTCCGAATCCTAGTTTGAGACATCCTCATACTGGCTGAAGAAATGCAATGTTTATCTCTTGTCCTGACTTATGGTTTGAAGATGCCACTCCATTATTAAAAACAGTCATTAAGCCCCTTGATTCTGTTGCGGGCCCTCAGTGGAAGATGGTCGTCCAAATTGTGGTGACTGTTAGTGTTGTGAGTGTTTGAGCGTTTGGATGTGTAACCTGAAGCCCTGGTTCTCGTAGAGCACATATTAGAAACCACCCACTTAAAATATCCCGTCATGAACTGCATTTGGACCCCCCGCCGCCCCCCGAAGCGTTCTCAGAACTCTGAACCCTTTCCCTGAGAAGGCTGCTGAGAACCTCAGCTTGCTGAGGAAGGTGCACGAGCTTCGACCCGAGAAGCATTTGATGGTTACAGAAACCTGTGCCTCGCCTGCAACTTGGCCACCGTTTCTTCACGATTCCTGGATCAAGTTGTTTGGTTTGTTGATTCTGCAAACATTTTTGTAGTTGTTGTTTTTGGTCTTGGGGGGGGGTTTCTGTTCATGCTCATACACTGTATTTGCATGTTGGAACCTATGAATGTGGAAGCCAGAACGATTTCAATCAAGCAGCAGCGGTGAAATGAGGGCAGGGAGCCAGCAGCAGTTGTAGATTGCAAAAGATGCTCATGTGGAGTTGTGCTTCCTGTTGTGGTCTACATGACCAAGACATCCCCACTTCAAATGAAGTCCGCCGAAAGGTTAATGAAACTCATACCTAGAGCCTAGTTTCCCCTTGGAGTAAATAAGCAGAGTGGCGAATTGCCAAACACAAGTGTTAAATCTGTATGTACACAGATAAATCTGTATATACACATACACAAATTGGTTGTTTAATTTTCACATATCTCTCAATCACATTGGGATGTTGAGGATTCCCTGCTGTAGAGAGATATATGTTGCAAGTCAATCAGGCAAAGCACGTGTTGGACGGACAAGACAGGGACAGCACGGAGTTCGCTACGAAATCTGTTTCTGGAGTTGCGCGTGCCCAGTTGGAAGCCTCAACTGATATATCCACCCAGGGTCCCAACTTGAAGCACGTATCCCCATCGTTTTTTTTTTTTTTTAATATCAACCAGGACAAGCAACACCGAAGCTGCGCCCAAAAACATGGAGAGCCCAAGGCCGGTCGCTCAGGTCAAGAGGGGGGAGCCCATCTTGGCGACTGGTCACTGGCGGAGCGTTATGCTGAAGGCGAGGTTCTTGGGGGGAGAGAGGAGTTGGGTTGCTCGTTGATTGCATGAGGTGGGCGAATAGAGAAACCAACGGAATCAATCACTTCCCATTCAATGATACGATCTTTGATGTCTTTAATTTGGTATTTGATACCAGCTTCTATTTGATTATTTGGTTGTTTGTAAGTTGCTTTGATTTGACAATTCCCTATGAGCGCATCTAAATCATGTCTAGCGTGATTCCAGTTGCTGGAAAAGGACCTGGCGTGTGGCAAATTGGCAAAGAAACAGGTTGGTGGGAAAACAAAGCTCAAGGTGGTTGGAAAAGAACATCATCAGGTTGGAACAGCCAATATCGAACGTCAAAACCACGTTGACATATGTTGACCGTGTTGATAGACTTAGCCCTTCAGTGGCAACTTCAGACGTACCGTGTTTCTCTTTGTGTTTGCCAAACACCGCCAGACTTTGCTTGACTTGGCATGTTGTTCTTTTTGGATGAGTTTCCCCATTTCCCCAGCCAAGTAGCAGAAACAGACTCTTGCCTTTCAAGTGGCATGTGGCAGATAATTCAATTTTTGCCGCAGGGTCCAAGCCTTGCCCAGTTTCGAACGCCCTTTGAAAGAAGGGGCCCGCACAAAATGGCAATGTGAGCGACTCAGAGTGACCTCCTTGGATTTTGTTCCAATGCGCTGGGCCGGGATTGCATTTTGCAGATCCAGTTTCGTGAAGGGATTGAGTGCAAACCTACCTGGACCCGAAAAACTACAGACAACAAAGCGGGGTGGTGCCACAAGATGACGGCAGGACGGTGTGTGTTTGGTTGGGTGGCTTGGCAGGTGGCTTGAAATTTGATTCGGTATATAGGTGCGGGCGCTGTTTGGGCGAAAAAACACATGGCATGCATTTGCTAGAGCAACGGTGACACTCTGTGGTTCGGGATTTTGTAGCAAGACCTCGTTGCAACCGCCATAGGTGTCCTTTTTGGTTGTTTTGCTAGAAAAATGGATGGCGATTCCTGGTTTACCTGGTGGTTTAATCATCTACCAGGGAAACCCATCTATTTCCCCTAGGACACCTATGGCAACCGCTGTGTTCGGCGAGGCATCATCAAGGACTTTAACAACTGGTGCGAAGCTTGGGTGGTGCCTGGTTCGCAATGCACGCAAGATCGGGGTGGCGTGGGAGCTCGTGAACCGGTGCAGAGGGACGTTGGCGGATGGTGGGCCCCACCCATTCGCCTACGCATGCGCCTACCCACAAGCAAGCCATGGGCTGCTTAAGTACCAGCCTCGAAATCACTACCTTCGCTCTCCCCCAGACAACTTAGTGCAATACTGAATCTGGGCGATCTGATGAAGAAAGTCTTCATCAACAGCGCAATCTTCCCTCAATCTGTCAACCTTTCCCTGCGCAGTATCAACAAGAGTCAACGCAAAAACACGACACAAAGAAGAGAAGGAAAACACACAATCTGCGCAGGTTGTGAACTGTTGTTGGGAATCCTCACCTTTCAACGTTTGCGTTTGCAAACGGGCACCGGTTGGCAACTGTCCTTCGGCGAGCCTTGAAGCCAATGTCGGAAAACGGTGCGAAAGGATGCGTACTGGCGTGGCAGAGGCGGCACAAAAAGGCCGCGTAATGATGCTGTGACACCTCGAAAAAGGGGCCTGTACAAGCCAACGCATCTGCGGAAGCCGCCAAATCGAGGGTGAGCAACGTGAAGGTGTTTCATCAGGGTGTTCGACAACACATGAAGCGCCAACCCGGACACACAAACAAACAAGCAAGCAAGCAAGCAAACAAACAAACAAACAAACAATCAAACAAACAAACAAACAAACAAACAAACAAACAAACAAACAAACAAACAAACAACAAAAACGCACACAAGCAGGCAAACAAGCAAGCAAACAAACAAGCGAGCCAGTTAAAAGCCGGCAGCAAGCAATCAACCAATCAATCAAACACAAACAAATGTCACACACATATGCAAACACCCATACTGACAGCAACACATACAGAGACGGACTCACAGCCACACAGTCACAGACATATATAGACACAGACCCACAGAACAGGAGGCAGGCAGGCAGGCAGGCAGAGCCAGACAGAAAGACAGACAGAAACAGAGGGACAGACTGCCACGCACACACAGAGCCACACGAACACCCACACGCACATGACACGCACGCGCACGCCAATAAGCGTGAGATGCCCCATAGCTCGAAGGAGGGTTTGGAGAGTTAGCTCCGGGGTCAGAGTAGCTCAGGCATCCGGAGCCAGCTGGGATGGAGCGTTCTTCATTCCGTTTGAGCCATGAAGCCATTGATGGGTTTGCGGAGGCTCAGCCATGTGGAAATCCGATTTCTTCATTCCTCATAGATCCCTCAAGTACCAAATTTGGATACACGGCTCGAATACCAGGTCCCAGGTGTTGATCAATGACTCAAGTACCAGGTGTTGGTCACTGACCCAAGTTCTGGGGGAGGGTTCACCTACTAAAATGGACAAGAAAGAATAATGTTGGTACCAACTTATTCTAACCTCTCAAATCTGGAGGACCTAGTCTAGTACCAGGTTTTGTTTGCGATCTTCATTTGAGGATTGGAACATGCTGCTGACCCACGAGGGGGGGCCCAACCACGTGGGGAACTTGTGCTCCGCGCCGGTTCTGGCGGACCTGCAGAAGGACAAGGCGAGCTCGCAACACTTGCCATGGGGCTGCTTCGAGAGTGACTACAGGGCTCCCTATTTGGCTGTGGGTCAAAAATATGTACCCAAAATGGAACCCTGGTAAATGGAGATATGGACTAAAACCTGCGGTCCCCTGGTGGTTTAATTTTGACCGGCCCATACCCATTTGGACATAGGTGTCCTTTTTAGGTTGGTTTGCTTAGAAGTAGATTGCACTGGTTTAGATTGGTTTTATTACATTTAATGAGGGAAACCCATCTATCTGACCAAAAGGACACATGTATATGGTGCCTCTTTTTTCAAAGGGACCCACCAAATGGCTTCGGCGTTCTTTAGGGTTTATCTTTACAACCTACCAAAAGGGGGGACCCTCAAAAGCGGTCGGTGGACAGGAATCCCCACTCCACCAAAGGGTCTAATAACTCCCATCCTGGAGTATCCATGACCCTTTAAACATTGGGTCATTACCCAAAATAATGGGGTCATTGACCCATGTTTAAAGGGTCATGGAGACTCCAGCATCTTCATTTTTGGGTTTTTAACAGCACCTTTTGTCCCAGTGTATCCTTGTGTTAGGGGAATTGTTGGCGGACCCCTTTTCCTGAATTTATGGGATGCCGAAAATCCATTTCGCACCTTTGGCCAGGCTTCCTTTGACCCAAGCCCTCGTGAGCCTATGTGCAGGTATCTGGGTGGTTTGGATTTGTTTGGGGGTTGAACCCTGGCTTTTGGTAGAGGGAAGGGAACTCCACCAAACCACCAATCCAAAGCACCATAGAGGGAAGCTGAGGTGTAACCCTGGGCCAAGAGTCAAGAGGTTTTGGCACGAGGTGATCTTTCAGCCGTCCTACTACGCCTTCGGCCACTTCTCCAGGCGGGTCCGAACCCCGAACCCAGTGGCACCCAACCCAGGACGAATCAGCCCGTGTTGGGCACGTTATGTTGGCCGAGCTTGTCTGGGGATCTGGCCAGCCCTTGGCTGCGGATCTGGGGATCCTGGACTGCTGGGTTGGATCTTTAGACTTTAACTTTTTGGGGAAATCAAGGGGTTTTCCACTAAACCCAACAAAACAATTCAGCTTTTCGTAGGGGGGTCAACCGCAACCAAGGCTCTGGCTGGGGTTTCATGCGCCCGGAAGGCACATCAAGCCCGGGGCGCGGCGGATCCTGAGCGCCAGCAACCGGGACTGCATCGAGGCGCTAGGGCGCGGACGGAACCGCGGGGGGGAGCCGCGCGTTCCAGGCGCTTTTCTGCCGTCTTCGTGCCCTTCCTTTTGTTTTGTTTGGGAACCCTTCCCTCACGGCCATAGAAGTACCTGGAGTCTCCATGACCCTTTATTTAAAAAACAAAATGGGTCAATGACCTCATTATTTTGGGTAATGACCCCCTTTGTTTAGGGTCATGGAGACTCCAGGTAGATGATTAAGAATTCGCATATATGAAGAAATTGGATGTCTATTGTTGGGACATGTTGGTAAAGAGGTGGAACTCAAGGCTCTTCAATCTACCAAAAGAGGACCCCTGTTGTCAGGTCTGTATAAACATGCGTGGCGTGGTTGCCACCTGTCTCCAGAAAAGTGGCTTTCCTGGGAATCCAATGCACTTGGCAGATGACAGATATTTTGAGAAGATACGCATGAGTCGCCCAAATGGCTCAGGAGGATGGGCAATGATGCTCTTTGTATGACTACAGTCGCCGCCCAAGTGGCAAGGGGCGTTGCTGCCGCAGTTGTTATTATTATGTTGCAAGCGATCCAGGTAAGTCGCGTTGGCGTTCGTCGCCCAAGGTGTTCAAATTGATTTGGCTCGGCTGAGGCGCTGTGCTTTGTTTGCTGCTGCCAGGATCTTATTCGAGATGATTGGGCTCAACTAGTCCCCAAAGGATTCTAAAGGCACAAGGACCCCAACAGCTAGCCGCGAGAGGTCAAGCAGATTCTGAAAAACATCAAAGTCACGTGTTCGCAAGGCGGTCAGCGGTCAGGCGGTTTCTTACCACTTTACTAGCTTCGCAACCGGGGGGGGGGGTCTCAAAAGCGGAATAGGTCCCTAACATGCTTGATTGGGGTCCTTTCCTTCGAGACCAAAGGATCCACCATTTGAGTAGCTCCAATAAATCAATTGGCCGGACATGAGTGGTTGATTTGGGGCCGCAAAGCATAGGGCAGCACATCAATGATTGGGTATGACAGCTTCTACAGGCTTACTAGTGGGAATGTTGCTAGGCACAAGCCTCAAATGGCGCGAGTTGTTGTCTTCAAGGTCAGTTGGCCTTGCGGTTTCGGTCATGGAACGTGTCGGGAGGTTCTGAGGTTAAACGGTCAGCTGGGAGGACTCTTTCATAGAAAATCACATGCCGCGTTTCTGCTTTGCAGGCCACGGCATTCGCCAACCCCGACGGCATCTTGGTGGCCGTGGTGTTGAACCAGTCCCGGCACCACAAGGATCCACTGCCAAGATGGGCACTGGGCCGTTGGTTTGCCCCGTAGGGCTTGGGGTCGGTTTTGGTTGCTTTGTTTCGAGGTTTCTTATGGCCCCATGTTTGTCAACTAACCAGTTTAGGAATAGGGGGTGCTTTTCGAATCAGACCACTTTTGGAGGGGCTCACACCCTCCAAATTTGAGAATCTGGGGTTGATTCATATGGGGTGAACATTGGGCCATTGTTTTGCACCCGTAGGGTGTGGTTCTGCTGTTGCGAGGTTTCTTATGGCTCTCGGCTTGGTGGAGGCTCCTTGCCGGGTTGGTTTCCTGGGCTTTTCCCAAAGATGGGGTCCCGTGGCTGCACCTTGCGACCCGGTGTTCGTTTCATCCACAGGTCTAACTTCGAGGATGCCATGGACCCCGGTTTAGCGAGCGTAGCTCCGAGTCAAATGACCAACCGCCAAGAGCAGAAATTTAGTAGGATGCTCGTTGCTGCGTTAAGTGGTTGGCGACCTGAGGATATAAGTGAGGGGGTGAACTCCACACGAGAAACCTATTTTCACCCTGGTCATCACCAATTTAAAAAGGTGAGCCGAACAGCGCTTTACTGGCACCAGTTTTCTACCCTTGAGCCAGGGCTTGTGCCAGATGGGCCAAGTTTGAAGGGCGTGAACATCAACTTGGAGAGGTTTCATCTCTGATGACTATTTCACGTTGCCTGGATTGCTATCGAAACTACCAACATCTACCGAGGTGTCGGTATCATACCAGCTTGAATCAGCTGCTTGTGTCTAGCAAGCCTGCAACTCCCGAAGAGAAAAACAACAACTTTCCCTTCCTCCCTCTAACATGACACCTGTGAGAGGGCATTCCTTTTGGAGGGCCCGGGTCCCTATCAGCTGCCATGGCGGCCCTTTTCCTTTCCGCGCGCGCGCGTCCGCACCCGTCGCGTGTGATGTTCGTTCAGGATGTGTGCATCCAGCTGGCCGGCAGAGTGTGTCGCTGCCCCGTGCTCCCGCACTCCATCACCACCTTGAGCTTCAAGCTGTCGGCTTCAGAAGAGTCTGAAGTGGGTGTGTCTTGAAAAATTGGACTCGGGAGGTCCCCCGAAACCACCCGCAACCGTTTCAGAAATTGGAACGGAAGTCCCAAACGCACTTGCAACCGAAGCCAATGGACCTGGGCAGTTTGGTTTCCTGAGCTGGGTCCACTTTGAGTGAAGGCCCCAAAAGGTGATCACCTTTTACTTCTGGGTCCCGGGGCAAATGAGAAATGGGTGGTTTGCTTTTGGCATCGTTTTGACAACCAAGAAGGGCACCCTCCAAAAAGTTTTGACACCAACCAAGAAGGGCACCCTCCAAACACCAGACACAACCTATTCACCGCGCAGAAGTCGCGGACAAGTGGCGGCGAAGGATTAGAAATGGCGGCTCCGCGGTCTGCCATCTGTGAGTTAGGACTGCAGACGGTCGGTTACGAGAGGCATTTGGTTTGGCCGCAGAGTTTGGCGTGTCTAAAGATTGACCTTTCGAAAGGTGTGACGCATTTTTCCGCGCAACGCCGCATTTAGAAAAACGCATTCCCGAGTTCAGAAGGTTGCCGAGTGCTCCGGAAGCTACACCGTGTGCTGGTGCTTCGAAAGGCTTATGCCGAGGCTTCTTCGGAGACCAGAAAAACACGAGGTTCGAATGGATCCGTTTGAGGCAGCAGATTTCAAGCCAACATATCGAGTCAGTTTCTGGCTGATTGCTTGGGTTGCAAAGGTTGACAGGGGGGGTTAAGTCTTACCTGGTCAATGGTACATTCAGTTCCACCCCTTGCGAAATTTGAAGCTGTAGCCGTGGTTCGTTTCATTATTGTGCGCCGCACATGTGAAATGCTGACTTAGGCCGAGCGGCCAAGAAGGACCAATCCAACGCAGACTTCATCGTGTCAGGATGCCCAGATGATTTGTCTACTCCCCAAGGGTGAGCCCAAAGCAGTGGGCAGATTCGAGCAGCCAATCGGCCAATTTGAACAGTTGTCTGTGTCACCAACATGCAACGAAACAACCTTCACGATGAAAATCAGTAGCCGTGACATTAGCAAGAATGCAGTGTGCTCTCTCCTTTGTTTCTTAAGAAAGCAGTTGAACCATTTAGTTATTATCAGGCTGAGCGTTAGTTAGTGTGTTCCGGTCCGGTGCCCTCCATGTACAGTGGGCCCTCTTCAGATAGAGATTCGAATCATCCTGGCCATCAGGTGAGAGTTGATGCTGCACGCTTGTGCGTTGCTTTCTTAATCTTGGAGCTCCACGCGGGGAAGTCAAAGAATGGAGTTTCTCTGAGTCTCTGAGCCTTTCCTGTTGCCTGAGCGTGGAGCTGTTTTCACATCGCTACATGGCTTTCCTGAGTGCCAGATTGCCTGTCTAGCCCACAAAGCCCCAGTTTCCCCCATTGGCACACCCCGGGCTGACTCAACTTGGCAGCGAGCGCTTTCCCCCGGCCTCCCAGCCTAAGGAGCGAAGTCTTGAGGAAATGCAGCGACCTGAGCAAGGCGCGATGGGGGGTTCTCCCACCCCCAAAATGGGGGAGGTGAGCACGCCATAGGGTAAAATCATAATCAGAAGAATGCATGATCGCCGGTTCCTCAAGGTGAGCCACAATCAAAGCCCAAGTAGATGAAGGCTAGTGAGGGACAATGCCAGCCATAAATGGCCGTGGGTCAGTACCAATGGTACCATTTTGGGGTAGGCGCACCACCCATTTTAGTCTATTTTAGTGGGGATTGGGATGTTCACTGGGGGTACGGGCCTTTGACCCATGGCCAAATAGTTGCGGCCGCCTTTGTATTTCCGTACATGGTTCGTCAACAATTTTTAATGCCGGGCCTTCATTGTGACTCAGGCGGCAATTCTCTAGAACTCCTGGAGGGTGGATCGATTCCTTTTGGCTGTCCATGGCCTCTTTCTGGGGCGGGATTGAGCGGGCTCCTCATATTTCCCCCCTCAAGCGTGGGAAACTCGCTGGGGTAAAAAGGTGATGCTCAACGCCAAGAAAGGAACTATACAAGGTCGCCCAGCTGGGTGCCCTTGTTAACCCCTGTTTGTTTCCTTTTTTTTTCACCAGGGAGGGTTCCCCTACTAAAATAGATAACAGAAAAAGGGTACCCTTATTCTAACCTCTCCACTGGAGGACTTAGTATAGGTGCCCCTTGTTTAGACATCGCCATGCGTTGGAAAGGCGGTGAAGCATCTGTCACTCTTATCATATCTTCTTCGAACCACCCCCTCGGGAGTTCTTGATAAGTGTTAACTTACTTCGAGCGTTTAGAAACCTTTGATCAAGGTCGCTTTGGCAGCTCGTATAATGAACTGCGTAATTCATAGCGAGCTCAGCTGCAGCTTGCCCGTTGGTCTTGGCATTTTTAAAGAGTGGGTGCCCTTGCCGCTTGCAAGTCCGCGAAGTCAACGCAAGACCTCCCTGGGTGTTGGTTCGTTCAACTAAATCAGCTTGGCGATGTCCCTTTGCTTTTCACCAGGATCTTAAATGGGTATGATTGTTGTTCATAGGGAACCACCTCAAAAGTGGGCACAGGACCCCTGAATGAAGCATCCCGATTTCGGACTTTGCCTTCCATGGCTCTGAAATCCCAAGCAACAAGTGGACGATCAACGCACGGCCGGGAAATCATCCGGGTGTCCGAAAATCGCGTGCGGACTACATGTTCGGTGCTCGCAAGGCCCAGCACTACATGAATTGGCTGCACCACCAAGTCGGCAAGCCAGTGGCCCCAGGCTTCTGAGCGATCCGGCGCTCGGAGCCGGGAGTGCCAAGTGTCAAGTGTGCTTTCCCAAGCCACGGGAAAAGTTTTTTTGTTTTTTTAGTATTTTGGTTGTTTAAACCAGCTGATGGCTATGGAACACTTTGGTGAAGAGGTCCCAAGTAGGCGATGAGGGGTTCAAAGTAGTTCTTCGAGGCTTCCGGAGGATTGCTGGGACCTTCCGGGGCTGGCCGAGGGGTCCTTGGAGCCTCGAGTCGAACCGCTCCGAGGCCGAATGCCTCTGGCCGCATCTTCAGCTTGGATGAGGTCACGGAGGCGAGCAAAATACTTCGGGCGGGGGGTCGGTGCCCGAGGTAATTTTGTTTTGGAAGTGAAAGGAAAGGTGGTTTTGGAACAACATGCGAATGTCAGGGGGATGTCCTTTGCATGATGTTTTTTGCTTTTTCGGACGGCAATTGAAAGCTTGCCTTGTTGGAAGCGAATGGAAGAACATGCGAATTTGGGGGGTGTCCTTTGCAGTGGATCCCAGACAAGCCCTTATACAGTAATTGGGCAAGCAGCTATCGTCCTAGGGGTTTTGTGGTTCCGTTGGTTGTCTGCGATGCTGAAAAATGGATCCACTACTTTTGAGGCATGCCCACGTCGCAAATGGGCAGTGGTATATTTGTGTCCCAACTCGGCGATTTCTGGGACATGTTTTGGGTGAGCTTTGGTTTTGGGGAGGTGGCTGGCAAGTCCTTGGCCGTCCGCTTTCTGCGGGCTCAGACTCTGGATGCGTTGCTCGTTCCTGCTTGCATGTGGGGTTGCCCCCTTTGCTGGGCTGTATGCCTTTGGTTTTGGTTTCAATCAAACACATAAAGGGAAATGTCACTCATCAATTGTTGCTGTTCTGGACCAATAGCCAGTGCTTTGGTGGCTGGTGGGGAGTTGCCATTCTGATTCACACCCCGGGGGGGGGGGGGGGGCAGGGCGGTGCCACAAATCACTGGTGTCATCGCTTGACAGCTGCTCTGGGCGTGAGCTATCTAGGCTTTCGGCTTCAATCTATTGACTTATGGCATCTAATGATTGACTTATGACATCTTATGACTGTTCCAGAATAACCCCAAAAGGGTGGGTGTTTTCAAGGCCAAGAACCAGAATGAACGCAAATCCATCTTTGATCATTGAGCTAGCTCCAGGCGACTTGCAACCAGGTCCGCGGGTATTTTTGGCCAAGCCCGGCAAAGCCGAGCTGTTTCTGAGGGTCATTGGAAGCAGCTGGACTATCTCTGAACTATTCCTAGGTCCCCCAGTGCCCTTGTTAACCCCTTTTTTGGTTGGGAGGGTTCCCCTGCGAAAATAGACCAAACGGAAAAAAGTTGGTACGAAAAAAAGATCGGGTACCCTTATTCTAACCCTCTGGAGGACCTAGATTTTCTACAAATGAAAAGGAGATGATCGGAGAAGTGAGGAAGAAAGATAGGAAAGGAATGGTCAAGGACTTCTCACGCAGACTCAAAGATGACAGATGGAGAAGTAAGCTTGTAAATGAAGGATGTGTGATAGAGAGATAACTAGCTTGAGGACGAATTATCCATCTCCTTCCCGGGCGTAGAACTCCGTGAGGCCGAGCTTCGGGTGCTTCAGTTCTTCGAAGAGGCTTCGAGAGCGAAAGGGGCTGGGCAGGTTGCAGGCTTCTCCGACCTCATGGAAAGGTCGAAAAGCTCGGGCGAGCCACAAGCCAACCGGGCGTGTCTTTTTTGAGGGTTCCCCTTTTCAGTGGTTGCATCGGGAAACCTAAAGGAAAACCTGGGGGTGCCCCTACAAGAAGCTACAAGTTTGCGCACCAAGATCGGAGAGCCGGCAGGAGATCCCGAGCTTCACGAAAACAAATCGGACAGAGTTGTGTTTTCAACTTCGATTAGTCGAACACTTGTGGGGGGGAAGTCATTGTAGCCAGATATAACGGCAAGCCCAAAACAAAGAAGTTGGGGGACCCCTAAAAAAGACAAATCCCCTTGTGACTGTTTGAATGTCAGAAGCGCTATTTCAGGATGGTTCCATGAAGGTTCAAGGCTGCTGGGCGTACCTTGGGCTTAGATTGTCAAGTTGATTGTGGCGTCACGCGGCGTGTTTTTGTTTGGCACACCTGGCAATGTTGGAAGCGTGTTTGATTTTTTTGGGCCGCAGAAACAAAGAAGTTGTTTGACTCAGCAAGGCAATGAGTTGGCAGAAGCTTCGCCAAAACGACTTGCTGGTTCTCAGGGAATGATTTGGACGCAACCAAAACCTGGGGATTGTCATTCCCCAGATGATGGGACAACTTACTACAGAAATCTA